TCCCCTCCCATGCTTATTACCCCATTCTCTCTTCCCTCCCATGCTTATTACCCAATTCTTTCTCCCATCCCATGCTTATTACCCAATTCTCTCTCCCCTCCCATGCGTATTATCCCATTCTCTCTGTCCCTGTCCCATGCTCATTACCCTATTCTCTGTACCCCTTGCCACCCTCTACACTCTTACCTGACTGACTTCCTGTTTCCTACACTAACTGTGATTTGCTGTTCTGTACAGGTATTGTAGGTGTTCATTAAAAGTGCTCTAAATCACAACCGAGGGATCTGACAGCTGCATAGTTTTAAAATATGTATGCAGTTTTAGATTCTCAAATGGAAGGGGTGGCATTAGATGAACATGACTTAAGGTTAGGGAATGCTTAGGATAAATGTTGTTTAGAATTGAATAAATTAAAGTTATTATTAAGGGGGGCATAAACTCAGGGGGTACCTGCCTTAAAGGTGCTGTGTACTGTAATTCTCATGAGCCAGAAATGTTTAAAAATGGATTAACTCCAGTCTGCAGTGTGCATTCTTTTATTGGCAACATTGCAAAAATAGCAGTTTGGTAATTTACCACAAGAGGGAGCTGTTTCTCTACATTCATTATAAATATGCTAATATGAAATAGGTTTGAACTTTTCTTTAATAAGTAAAATATTTTTTAACTAGACAATGAGATATTTCAGCTAGTTAACTTAGATATTGTATAGAAGGTGGACATTCTTTCTGCCAAAAAATTATACAAGATCAATAATGTACTACTTTCATTAACACAGCTTTTTGATAAGGCATCAGATAGGTACAATTATTTAACGTATGCTTCCAGTTTTGCTACTTTGGCCTTAAATTTCAAATTTAGTTTGGATTCACTTTGAGTTCCTGAAAATTCTCACTTTATTTAATAACCTGATCTGTCTTCAATAATTTCAATGGACATATAGAAAAACAAACATATAATCGTTTAGTGCCTTGAAATAGTTCTGACAGCAACTAAATGGATCCTGGTCTAAAAACTGGCTCTATTTATTTTTAGTTTAAGCTAAAAAGAATGGAGATCTCACAGCTCCCTTGGGAGATTATCAGCAGAGGGCCCTTAACACTTAGTATAGGTAGGATGTTTGGGGTCAAACTTGGCCAAGTATATTCATAGAGCACGGGCCCCTGTTCAACCACACAGTCCCAGGTGGCTGCCTTAGGTGCCAATATGATCAATCTGGCTTATTATGAGTGAAACTCTCTCCTCATTTAATCTTAATCCTGTCTTGGAGTGGTGGGAATAATAAACTAGAACCAGAATCTCATTTTGGGAGAGTGTGTGTTACAAAAAAGTGCTTTTAGTGAAATCTGTATATAGCAGCTCTGTACACTAGTGTGGATTACCCTTTGTTCCACACACAAATTAACACAAGGACAAAAATTGGTATACAATATACATATACCTTAAGTGGAGCGCTATGAGGGTTTAGGGGCTACCCTTTAAGCTCTTGATTGAACCGTGCACGTCAAGTGGATATATATGAAAAATATAGAAAATATAATATAGTGCAGATTGTAAAACACTGTGATAATTTAATGAAGTAGCAGAATGGATGACTCACATTTCAAGGAGCCTATATTATTGGCTCAGTAAACAGGGCTGGTTTTTAAGACAGCATCCCACCACTATTTTCTGTTGGGGTTTCCTCTGGAAAGATAAAAATAGTAGAGGCATCCAATGTGTAGCATAGTTGTTAAAAAATACCATGAATTTATAAGAATAAGTGTTGAGCTCACCTTTTTCAGAGCCTTCAGATCCCAAATCTGAGGGTAACAGGCTATGTGCCAATATATTGAGGATGGCACTTCCCCCAATGAAGATTCCTGATTCCAAACAAGTAAGGAGATATACTGAGACAAAGTATGGGCTACTTTGTCTCAGTATATTTCCTATGCCTGACACTTCTAGACACTGAGTGGAGCTACCGCCGTCTAGAAGTGTCGGCTGCAGGGAACTGGCTTTATCTATGGAGGATCCTGCATACTTGCAGGATCCTCCATAGACCTCAATGCTGCACTCTCGGCTTCTGGCACACAGAACAGAACCAGCTAGAAAAAGATGGCAGCGCCATAATGGGCGGATTTAGGTAAGTTAAACTGACCTTTGCCTGCAATCTCAGCCACTGAACTCCCAGAGGTGATGTCACTGTGGGGGGTCTTTACAAATTATGTAAAGAACCCAGATGGTGCCTCTTTACACTATGGTAGTAATAGTACTTGGGACAATAGAGACTGGACATTTCTCTGATGCTTAGAGTAAAGGAGAGGATTAGAGACAGGGTGTATATCAGTTAATACTTTAAAGTAGGGTTCTCCTAACTCTGGCCCTCCAGATGTTGCTGAACTACAACTCCCATGATTTTCTGGCTATTTAATTAATTTAAAGAATCATGGGTGTTTTAGTTCAGCAACATCTGGAGGGCCAGAGTTTGGAGAACCCTGCTCTAAAAGAAAAGGGTGAGAGTTTGGAGAACTCTGCTATAAAGGAAAAGGTGAGAGTTTAGAGAACCCTGCTATAAAGGAAAAGGGCCAGAGTTTGGAGAAACCCTGCTATAAAGGAAAAGGGCCAGAGTTTGGAGAACCCTGCTATAAACTATAACATTTAGACTCCAGAGACAAAGCACCAAAGTGCTTTAGGCATCTGGAGTGTTCCTTTAATATAGTTTAATATGTGATGGATATCCCCTTATTATGAACAGTTCTGGTGGATTATTTTAGAAAATTAACAGATTATTAAATTTTAAATATACAAAATTCAAATATGGACCTGAATGAGAAACTGAGACATGTCAGAGGCAATTTGAATAGATGAAAAATGGTAACAACCAACAAATCATAAGAAGACAGAAACGAGTGATGAGTGCACAGGGTGTGTTGAACTGCTCAGGAACAATCTTTAAAATGTTCAGGTCCTCACATCACCTTGAATGGTATAGGGGATGCAGTTGTAGCTACCTTCCAGTTTAGGTCAGAGTTGCCCAGGGTATTATATTACACATATACTGCATGATGTGCCTGTTATTGCAATGAGCATCTTGGGGAGCATAAGAGCATATATGTCTCAAGCAATCCAAAATTAGCAGGGAATCCTTGGAAAGGAGCTGGGAATACATAAACTGGCATGCTCCTTTGCATCTCCTCCCCTGGAATATCATTAAAAGGAGAGATGCTAAATGAATGGTGGCAGTTGTCAATAGCCACTTTGGCCCAAAAATATAACTGCCAAAAATCTCATTCAAACATGGACCAAGGGCAAATAATTCCTTCTCAGCACCTGTATAGCTGCTTGGAGACATTCAATGTCCACTTGATTGTATCTACAGCTAGGTGCTCCACATTTCCCAACTTTAAAAACTGATCTGACCTGCTTGCTGGAGTTGATCAACTTCTGACTTTTGTGTATAACACGTCAAAGATATTTTTTAGGACAATTAGCGTCTTGTTTTTTAGACAATTAGTGTCTCTTGACACTGACTTCTTTGGAGATAATGGTACCCGCACTGTGTCTAGTCCAAAAAATAGATAGAACCCAATGTTCTATAATTATATAAAACATGTATCACAATTTTACCTTCCACATATCTGGCATTGACGATGGAGGATAATGTATTTGACAATGTAATATCCCTTTGAGATTTTTATTTAGAATATATTTTATAGTGAATGTAAATATTGTATATTTTAAGTAATGAGTTTTAATGTAGTTCTATGGCCTTGCTCTCAATAATAGCTTTCTTAATAGCACATGGGCATTACACTGCGACAGAATGATTATAGTACATCTCCCAGTCTCTGATTCTATGTGGTCGACTTAGCAATTTTTTTCCAACCTTAATTGTTATGTGCCAGATTTCCAACATTTTCCCACATTCAAAAACAGTATGGAAAATAATTTTGAACAAAAAACATTTTGTCATTTAATCCCTCGGATGGTGAAGAAATACGTTTCCCTGCAGGCTACTCCTGCAACAGAGGGTGAGACACAGTTGTGTTTGGCATAAACAAAATGTACAAAGCAAGAAGAAAGAGAACATGCATTTTCTTTTGTACTGACACAGCTCTGGGGATGCCCTTAGCTGCCCCTTGCTGTTTTAAGCACTATTACATCTGAAAGAGGTTTCTGCATATAAGAATAAAAGATGTTTTATATTTATCTCGACATGAATCAGCTATTATTGTAAAAGTGTTTCTCACGAGACCTACTCAATTAGTTCATTAAATATCAACTCTTTAAGGACATTCAGTAGCTAGAAGAGAAAATATAGGGTGGACCTGGGACCATTTGAGCAAAGGACATAATATGCTTGTTTCCTACCATTGATTTTAGTCATAATACAGCACTCGGGACAAATTAAACAAAAGGTTCATTTACCCTTCCCGGTAAAACACGGATCCACAGAATAGATCCTACGGATAAATGACTTCACACCGACTTATTGCATTGTGTTTTTATTACTGGTGTTATATGTGGTTAGCATGTTACTATGTTATGAATCTGTCAATATTACACATTGAGGGGGATGTGTCTATCTTTACTTATACTCTATACAAGCTGTTTAGAATTTCTGGAAAATAAAACTAAAATTAAGGCACCCACCTCCCCCACTGTAAGCACTTTAACTGTTTAGAATGGTTTAACTTTTTACTTGTGGTCTGGTGGGAGTCGCTTCCCACTTTCACTACATCACATTGAGAATCGGAAGCTCTCTGTGTTGGTTTTTTGTTTTTTGGGGGGCAGGGGGTAATTTGGACAGTTCATAAAAGCAGGGTTAAAGGTGCCTATTACTGTGCAGCAATGCAAAAAAACGTCCACAATACTTCCTTGCCTAGTAGCTACGCAACATCAGCCATTTTTGCATTGCCAATTCTGAGTTGGCAAAATTAGATCATGATCAGACCACAAGACTCAGCCAGGCAAGGAGAAGCCACTACAATGAAAGACATTTGAAAACAATGGTAAGCCACAGCACAAGCAACAAGAAATTTTATTTGAAATTTACTTTTACAAATTAAGAAACAACTGTGAAGGGACAGGTGAGTGGCTAGTTGGATCTCAGATAGCAGATGATGATGCCTCAAGTATCAAAGTGAAGAGCAGGTTAACTTAAATTGGGGAGGATGAATTTGAGGAAAGCTATTTGCTCCATTAGTTCTGAGGATATTTGTGATCATTGTGAATTCAGGATGTTTCCTGTCTGTCTGTGGACATTACAATAGCTTCTGGACAACCAGACACAGAGCAGGCCTCACACTTTACTGCTCATCCCAGCAGCTCAGCTGCACTTGGGAAAGACTACTTGCTCCAATAAAAATATTATTGATATGCTAGCACCAGCAGTGTAGAACTCTAATTATAGACATGCTCATTCTAGTCCAGCTCCAGTGTTAACTTATTTTAATCAAAGAGACACTGTAGTGATTGAAACAACTTAAGCTTAAAGGAGCACTACAGTGTCAGGAAAACAAAGCGGTTTTCCTGACTCTATAGTGCCTTGAGGGAGCCTCCACCCTCAGGGTCCCCCTCCTGTGGCGCTGAGGCTGGATTAACCCTGCAATGTAAACATAGCAGTTTCTCTAAAACTGCTATGTTTGTATCTGAAGGGTTAAAACCTGGGGGACCTGGCACCCAGACCACTTCATTGAGCTGAAGTGGTCTGGGTGACTATAGTGTCCCTTTAAGTCTTGTACTACACCCTCATGACATATAACTCTGTGCTGTGTACAACGCCCTAGGGATGTGGGGAAAACATAATTCTACAATGACATCCAATGTCTCTTTGCAATTTTCAATGTTACTGAAATTTGACTTTAGAACTGAGCTATACTGAGAAGTATCCTAATTTTAGTTATACCAATATGTGACGCAATGAAAGAATTACTTATAAATGTATTCTTGTTTATCACCTGATCCCTCTATATTTTATACACAAGGCTAATTATCCAGCTTTTCTCTCTATTTATCAAGCAGTCATGCTCTCATTCTACCACTAGAGGGTAGTGTTTACCAGCATTTCATTTCTTTTAACAAATTAAAATCTGTGAGATGGTTTCCAAACAATTTAACCAAACACGTATTTATGGGCACTTGTTATATAATTGTTTTAGTTATACACGTCTGAAATACGCAGCTTCTTTCTCACAAAGATGTTTTCATAGAGATATGTACAAAGGTGTGCAAAGTTAAACTTCTTCACACTTTTCATATAATATAAATAAAGCAAATATTCTGATTGCAGCGTAATCTGTACCAGATTTTAATTTACAATGCAGAGCTAAACCTGAACAATAACCCAATTCTCCTCAGGTTTCTAATGAATAACGACAATGATCTGGACAGTCAGTAACTGTAACTCTCTGTATCATAGCATAGCCACCAGAATAAACACTGCAAATACTAGAATCGTTTGCATATAATTATTAACTCTAGAGAGACTGTAGGGCAAGGGTCCCCACCCAAAAGGTAGAGCCCCAGATGTTGTAGAACTTCAACTCCCATGATGCTTTGCATGGCTTTAGAATGGTAAAGAATCATTGAAGCTGTAGTTTTAAAACATCTGGGGATGTACCTTTTGGGTTCCCCTGCTGTATGGTTTTGCATGGCAAAACCCTCTGACACAGAATGTTGCAGTGGAATTCCTGAACGTTCCATCATTCTGCTAACTGATGGGCTATGTAGTTGGCTGGGGTTGCTTTGCTTTGTGTGCGTCGCGGCAGCATGCTGTAGCGTTGTACACAGCCCTCACACTGTAAATAATAACGGTATGCGCATTCCCAGACACAATCCTCTACCAGCCCCCACTCCTCACTTTATTATTTTTACTATTGTAGCAAAGCTAACGGTTTGCTCACACACTGCCCCTGCCCCAGCCCCACCTTGGCTCCCTATCAGTTCCCCCTTTGGCTGTGAGAGCTGTGCGGCAGCCAATCCTGGGGACAGGGCTCAGTCTGTGGAGCCTCCGATGATGCTGAGAGGGGCTGAAACTCCAGTAGCTGCTGCCCAATGGTGGGGTGGAGGGGAGGGCTAGCAAGTGACAGGCGTGTGGCTGGGCGGTGCATGGAGGGCTTGGAGGTGGAGGGGGGTCCAGGCTTCAATCCTGCTTGAAGTGAAGGGGGATCAATGAGCTCAGAAAGTTTTTTGTTCGAGCAGAAGGCACCAGGAGACATCGGCACTGCATGGCCCTGCAGCCCAATCCTGCACAGCCGGGGGATGTACTGAGAGCAGCTCTACATACACTGAGATACCCAGAGTCCTGCGGGGTCTGACTGCCCCTCACTTTGCGGATTACAAAAGAGGCATCATCCAGCCTAGAGAACAAAGTTACCAGACGCTGGAGGGGCTGCTGCTTCTTTACAGGTAGAGCTGGGGTGGGCTGGAGCCCTGGTATGGTGAGAAAAAAGAAAGCTGCGGCAGGCTGCAGGTCCCAGAGCTCCTGTGAGTTGCTGGAGTAGAGGGATCGCATGTGGGGGATGTACAAAGCAGCTCCCTGGACAAAGTGAGCAGCCAAACACTGCAGGAGGGGCCACCAAACCACCCATCATCTCCTCGGGAGGAGACTGCGGGGACCAGGTTGGACCAGGCTGTCCCTGCTTCGACTTCTATAAAGGTGCGTGGATACTCATTAAGTGCAATAATAAAAGGGATGGTTTCTGGACACTGATACTGACTGTGATTGAAGTGGAACTTAGCTGCAGGATGCATTGCTACATCAAGCTCCTGGATGTACAATAGCAATGCTCGTCGATGTTTGGTTTTTAAATGAAGTGCTACCTGGAAACAACGCCAGAACTGTGGAGATAACTTTTTGTTGGGCTGCTGTGTGTGAATTTCTCAGTAACGAACCCAAGGAATTTATGTCAGTCTGGTTTTATCAATTTGAAGAATTGTGAAGATAATTAGGCTTGGAACCATGAGCATTCTTCTCCCTGTAAGGAGTGCATGGTTACAAATGTTGCCACTGATGAATTTTTTGACTTTTGTTCTTTTGATGTCAGTGCCTGGGGCTTTTAGTAGCTCTCAGCCCAGGCAGGTCTTTCAAGTACTAGAGGAACAGCCACCAGGGGCTTATGTGGGAACCATCAACACCAAACCAGGGTTCACTTACCGACTTAGTGAATCCCATGCTCTGTTTAGTATTAACTCCACTTCAGGCTCTATTCACACTACCTCCACCATTGACAGGGAGAGCCTGGCCAGTGATGTTGTTAACCTGGTAGTGCTCTCCAGCCAACCAACCTACCCAACTGAAGTACGCATAACTGTGTTGGACATAAATGATAACTCACCTGTTTTCCCAGAACCCTCTATAATTGTATCCTTCAAGGAAGACACTCAAGGTGGCCGGCAGGTCATCTTGGATACAGCCACTGACTCTGATGCTGGCACCAATGGGGTTGATCACCGTTCCTACCGTATAGTTTCAGGTAACCAAGATGGGCGTTTCAAGCTGGGCATTACAGTAAATCCAAGTGGGGAAGGTGCTTTTTTACACCTAATGTCTCAGGGTCCCTTAGACAGAGAGACCACTCCATGTTATTATCTTCTTGTAGAGGTGGAAGACAAGGGCTTGCCCAAACGATTAGGCCACTTGCAAGTCAATGTTACAGTGCAGGATATCAATGACAACCCGCCAGTTTTTAGCAGTTCTCAGTACCAGGCTAAAATTGAGGAGGATGCACCAGTGGGTTCAAGTGTACTAAAGGTTGAGGCTACTGACCGTGATGAGGGGGCTAATGCTGCAATTAGGTACCAGCTGGCAGATGGCACCCCATTCCAAATTGACCCAGAAAGTGGACTTGTAACAATCCGAGAGCCACTGGACTATGAAAGCCGTCGACAATATATCCTGAGTATCCAAGCTAAAGATCTGGGCACTCCACCATTGACTGGTCGGGCAGAGGCGCTGGTACGTCTAATTGATGTAAATGATAATGACCCTGTTGTGAAATTTCGCTATTTCCCCGCCACTTCCCGATATGCATCAGTAGATGAAAATGCACAGGTTGGTACAGTAGTGGCTTTACTTACTGTCACTGACTCAGACTCTCCAGCTGCCAATGGTAATGTCACAGTAGCTATTTTGGGAGGCAATGAACAACGTCACTTTGAAGTGCAAACTTCCAAAGTTCCCAACCTCAGCCTTATCAAAGTAGCTAGTGCTCTAGACCGTGAGCGCATACCTTCTTATAACCTAACTGTAAGTGTATCAGACCAGGGTCATCCCAGGCCACGATCATCAGTGGCTAGCTTAGTGATATATGTCAATGATATTAATGACCACCCTCCAGTCTTCCAGGATTCACACAGTAAAGTAGAAATAAGTGAAGACTTACCTCCTGGGTCATATATCTGTGGTATTTCTGCCACAGATGGAGACACAGGACTAAATGCCAACCTACGATACTCTATAGTGTCCGGAAACAAATTGGGATGGTTTTCCATTAGTGAACACAGTGGACTGGTAACCAGCAACTCTGCCTTAGACCGTGAAATAGCACCGCAGCTGCTGCTCAACATTAGTGCCCAGGACCAGGGGCCACAACCTAAAACAAGTTATGCCACACTTCTTGTAAGCCTACTAGATGTCAATGATCAAAAGCCCACCTTTACTGGTCTCCATTCCAGTGAACAGCACTGGTTGTCAGTACCAGAAAATTGCTTGATTGGCACAGAATTAATTACACTGAGGGCAGTTGATGGGGATTTGGGCGATAATGGCACCATCCGCTACTACTTTGATGCTGACAATCCAAACCAGTGCCAGGGACTGTTTCGTCTAGATCCAATAAATGGCCGTCTCAGTACTCGTTCTGAGCTGGATAGGGAGCAGCAAGAAAATTGCTCTTTAATGGTTCAAGCAAGTGACCTTGGCACCCCACCCTTGTCTTCTACTGCCAAGATAACTGTTACTTTGTTGGATATAAATGACAACAGCCCAGTATTCTATCCAGTGCAGTACTTTGCCAACATTCAGGAAAATGAACCACCTGCAAGTTTTGTGGCTTCTGTTACAGCTGCTGACCCTGATCAAGGCATCAATGGAACAGTTGCATACTCTATCAGAGCTGGGGATACCTCCAAATTTCAGATCAATGCCGAGACAGGTGCAATATCTACAAAAGCAGCTCTTGACAGGGAGGAAAAAACTGCTTACCAATTACAAGTAGTGGCTACAGATGGTGGGGGTCTCCAATCACAAAATCATGCTATAGTCACCATTACTGTACTGGACACACAAGACAACCCACCATCATTCTCTCAGGATTCATATAGTTTTGTCATGTTTGAAAATGTGGCTGTAGGCTATAATGTAGGTACTGTTTCAGCTACCACAATGGATCTAAACACTAACATCACTTACCTTATCACCACAGGAGATCAGAAAGGGGTGTTTGCTATTGATAAGGTTACAGGTCTAATTACAACAGCAAGTGTAGTGGATAGAGAAGAGCAAGACTTTTACCATTTAAAAGTGGTGGCCAGCGGTGGGGCTATAACTGGAGAGGCTATCGTAAATATCACAGTCAAAGACTTAAATGATAACTCACCTCATTTTCTTCATGCAGTGGAAAGTGTTAATGTGGTAGAGAATTGGAAAGCTGGCCACATTATTTTTCAGGCAAAGGCAGTAGACCCAGATGAGGGTATCAATGGCATGGTAAGATACAGCTTAAAGCAAAACCCTCTAAACGTGTTCTTTGTCGATGAATTTAATGGAGCTGTGAGCATAACAGGAGCCCTTGATGTCAATGCAGGCTCATATCAGGTAGAGATTTTAGCATCAGATAAGGGTGTGCCACAGCTTTCTTCTGGTTTTATTTTAACTGTTTCTGTACATGATGTCAATGATAACCCTCCTGTGTTTGATCAGCTGTCATATGAAGTAACCCTTCTAGAATCAGAACCTGTAAATTCAAGATTTTTTAAGGTACAAGCTACTGACAAAGATTCTGGGGCAAATGGGGAAATAACATATAGTATCATGGATGGAAATTTAGGAGATGCATTTGGCATATTCCCAGATGGCCAACTCTATGTAAAAAGTGAACTTGACAGAGAAGTTAAAGATATTTATGTTTTGCTTGTGGCTGCTTCAGACAGGGCAGTGGAGCCCCTGAGGGCAACAGTAAATGTTACAATAATATTGGAAGATGTGAACGACAACAGGCCTTTGTTCAACAGCACCAATTATGTCTTCTATTTTGAAGAGGAATGCAGTGGGGGGTCATTTGTGGGCAAGATATTTGCTGTGGATAAGGACTCTGGGTCTAATGGGGAAATTATGTATGCCTTTGAAACAGTGCAACCTGATTTTGAACTGAACACAATTACTGGAGTAATCACAAGCACTCATCAATTTGACAGAGAGGCTCTTATGAGACAAAGAGGGGCGGCAGCTTTTACTCTCAAAGTGGTCTCCACAGATATGGGCTTGCCAAAGCCACTGAAGGATCAGGCCACTATACAGATTTACATCAGAGACATAAATGATAATGCTCCAAAATTTTCAAAAGATATGTATCAAGCCAGCATATCAGAATTAGCAGCAAACATGACCCAAGTTTTAAGAGTTTCTGCCTCTGATGTAGATGAAGGGAACAATGGATTAATTACCTATTCTGTGATTAAAGGTAATGAAGAGAATCATTTCTCCATTGACAGTGGTACAGGCCAGGTTACATTGGTGGGCATGTTAGACCATGAAGCAACCGCCTCTTATTCCCTTGTCATTAAAGCAGTGGACTCTGGGTCAGTTCCTTTAAGTTCAACGTGCACTTTAAGCATTGATGTTCTTGATGAAAATGATAATGCCCCTTCTTTTCCCAAAGCTGCTTTGTTTGTGGATGTTTTAGAAAACATGAGAGTTGGGGAACTGGTGTCTTCTGTCACCGCCACAGACTCAGACACAGGTGACAATGCTGACATTCAGTATAGCATTACAGGGACTAACAACCATGGAACTTTTAGCATCAGTCCTAACACAGGCAGCATATTTCTAGCCAAAAAGCTGGACTTTGAAACCCAGGTGTTATTCAAATTAAACATTACAGCTAAAGACAATGGTAAGCCTCCTCGTTCCTCTACCATGTCAGTGGTCATCCAGGTGAGAGACTTCAATGACAACCCACCTAGCTTCCCTGAAGGAGACATCTTTAAATCAATAACAGAGAATATCCCTATTGGTACATCAATTTTGGCTATTACTGCCAGCGACCCCGACGCAGACATTAATGGGGAGCTTACTTATGCTATCATTCATCAAAAACCAAGGGGAAGTCATTTTGTTATTGATGAGCAGCGGGGTACAGTTTACACCAATGCAGAAATTGACCGTGAATTCTCTAGTCTCTTTGAACTGACTGTGAGAGCCAGTGACCAGGCTGTTCCTTTGGAGACAAGAAGGTATGCCTTCAAAAATGTCACCATCTTAGTCAGTGACCTGAATGACAATGTGCCCACCTTTGTATCCCAAAATGCTTTTCCAGCAGATCCCACCCTGGTTATCGGCTCAGTTCTGACTGCTATTACAGCTTTTGACCCAGACGAGGGTCCAAATGGGGAAATTGAGTATGACATTATTAATGGGGATACAGAGACCTTTATTGTGGATCGTTATAGTGGGGACCTCAGAGTAGCTTCACCTCTGGTACCATCACGTCTAATCTACAACCTTATAGTGGCTGCTACTGACTTAGGGTCCGAAAGGAAGGGGAGTACGACTGAGTTGACCATCTTTCTACAGGGTCTCGATGGTCCAGTGTTTTCTCAGCCTAGATACATAACTATTGTGAAAGAAGGGGAACCCATTGGGACAAATGTGATTTCTATTGAAGCTTCTAGTCCCCGTGGCTCAGAGACTATGGTGGAATATTTTATTGTGTCTGTGAAGTGTGAAGGCAAGACTGTTGGACGGCTATTTACAATTGGGAGGTCTACAGGTGTCATTCAAACTGCCGCAGTGCTAGACCGTGAGCGTGGGGCTCGTTTGTACCTTGTGGATGTCTATGCCATAGAGAAAGAGACTACTTTCCCCAGAACACAGAGAGCAGAGGTAAGCCCTTCTTTTTTACTGTCCGACTCAGCTGTTGTATGCATAATTACTAATCTATGAGGTAAATTCGAAAAGTACAGATTGATTGCAAAGTTATACAAGTGGAGTAATCCCTATGGCAACCATTGGAAAGGTCCTGTTGATTGTTCCACTTTTATAATTTTACCCCAGTAAAGTTCTTTATTCACATAAACCAGTATCATTAGTCAATTAACTTACATGTGCATCAGATTGCAGGTGGATGGCTATATTTCTAATGTTTGCTTTAGCTTGAAACTTTTATTTTTTTTGTGCAAAACATCTGAGGAGCATATAGTCAAGTACAGTGAAATAATACACCAATCTCTTTTTTTGTTAAAATGTGTTTACTTTGTAGGTAAATGGTTACACAGATCTGTGCTGGACAGCTCAGAAATACATCAATTGGTCCATTGAAGTTACAGTGTGTTTTCCTGTATATTTAACCCCTTAAGGACACGACTTCTGGAATAAAAGGGAATCATGACGGAATATTTCCATCATCTGTCCTTAAGGGGTTAATCTCTACTACATAATCATATCATATATAACAATATTGGATACATAGAAAGTAATGAAATGCTGTACACTACAGGTATTATAAACAAAAAGAATTCATTACAGCTAAGCTTTCTCGCAATCTTTCCTCTGGCTGAGATTGATGGATGTTTTAGTAGGTCATTACTGTGAGGATTATGGGCAGTGAAGTTATTGTGCTTCTTCAGCAATTTTCAGCTTAAATATTTTTAGTCTGAGTAGAATGAAAACAAAAATTGAGAATTAGCCACCTCTGAAAAATGCAAGTCTGCATTACAAACTTTTCATGAGAGCCCTCTTAAAAATGAAAATAAATATGCCAGCTGAAGAGGCAAGATAAATGCAGGATCTTTAAATGTCCATGTGTGAAGATGTACCATTCTTGGTATGGACAGGGAGTAGAATATTCCTTGAATGTGGCAGATATATGATTTAAAGGTATTTCTACTTCATGTTGATTGACAGCACACAAAAAGTCCCACTATATGTAGCAGTCACATTCTGTAGGACAGAAATCAGATAACCAGCAAAGGTAGTTCCTTTAGGATGTCTCTTTGACACTAAACTTATTTTAACAGAATTATAACTATGGCACAACTTTTCATGCACTACCTATCTGCACGTAGAAGAGCTATGCATGGTTAAAATATTGTGGTTATAACAACGCTATATAATATATAATGTGTTATTAAAAGATCGATCCCCAGGTATTGAAGTAGGTTCAGGTGACGAAGGTTTAGCACATTTAGAAAATGTTCTTGAAGTAGAGTTGGCTTAAAGGTATATCCCCAGCTCTTGCAAACTACAAGTCATAAAGCTGAGAGAGTGACATAGAAGTTGTAATTCTGCCACAGCTGGGGATGTACTTCCAGGCCAGCCCTGTCTTAAGGTATTCATGTCAGCTGAGCACCATGGGAGTTGTAGTTCCACCACAGATTTATAGTCCCCAATTGTCCATATTTGGATGACATTCATTGGCTGAGTGTGTCAGTTGACAGGCTCAGCCAATGAATGCTCTCCAAACTCTGACAAGATTGATATTGCCAAGTGTAACTTTTGCCATATGAACAGCAAGTGGCCAGGCCACGAATGCATGCTGTGCCTGTCCTGTAAATGTTCTTTTGTTTTAGGAAACATTGTTTTCCCATGACACTTGCCAATGCTAATAGTTTATTCTTCTAGACTGCTAAGGTTTTCCTTTCCTCTTTATTGCTAGGAAAGGGACATTCCTTTGCCTAGCTCAATCATTACGAACATTGTGTGGTCTTAGAAAACAAAAACAAAAAATACCATGCCAGGTTAATTAATGGAACACATTATGCTGCTCCTTCTGTAGATAACTTGATTTAAGTAATATGTGTCTTCTTAGAGTGGAGTTTTTTCTTATTATTTCATTCCTCAGACAGTCAGCTTCCGGAACAGTGCTAAACACTTCTCTCACCCCCAGTAGCCTTTGGAGTACTATACGGCCTACTGGCCCTTCTACAAGCAAGGCATGGTTTATATTGGTTAACCAAACCTCAAATGAAAAACAAATGTTTTCCTATTCAAGCATATTAGGATCTGGTGCACTTGGAAGCTGGTGTTTATATATGTATGGCTTCTTTCCTTAGGATAAAATGCCTCTCTCAATTAACAATAGAATTGATTGTGCACCTTTGATAAATATGTGCATGTATATATATATATATATATTTATATATATCCCTGTGTTCTGGAAAAGGTACACAATATATACACAGATACACAGTGATTGGGAGCAGAAGCAGACCACAAGAATAAGTGAAACAGTTGACAGTTCAGAGATCACAGTCTATGTCTCTCTCTCTTCATTTTTGTTAATTCACGGTCTATGTAATGTCGCTTCATTTTGCGCTGTTTAGGGGAAGGCAGTAAAGCAGCTCTTTCAGAGAGCTTTACAGTTAAAGGAACACTTTAGGGTTAGCAATACAAACCGTATTCCTAACGCTATAGTATGTCGCTGTCCCCATTAGTTCTTTAGTTCCCCACCCTAGTGCGCATAAAAGAGTTACAAAACATTTTAATACTCACCATAATTCCAGCGCTGTATCGGTCCTGTATTGCTCTCCTCCTCTAGCTGTGTCATGACGATGGAGGAACCTAACGCCCGCATTAGAGCTTCCCTGTAGAAAAGCATTGAATCATGAGGATTTTGAAGACGTTGGACGTTCTCATGCACATAGTGAGGACATCCAACTTTGTTTCACAGAGTTAAACACTGTGAGAAACCAGGAAGTGCCTCTAGTGGCTGTCTGGATGTTTTTACTGCAACAATTTTACTTGCAGGGTTAAGAGGGCAGAGAAACTGCGCCCAAACCACTTCAATGAGATGGAGGAATATTGGATCAAAATAATGACTGTCTCTATTCAATAGGAAAACTTGAGAGCAGTGCAGCCATCAGGGAGGTACAGGTAGTACACATTTGCCCAACCTTGCAGGGTTGTATTTAGCACTGAGCAGTGTTTGTATGTTTGAATATAAGCATATTATATTTGTATGATCTATGTGTGTGAATGTAGGAATGTATTTGTGTTGTGTTGTGCTGTGTGTTTTTATATACTGTTGCCATATGAAAGCAGTCGTTTACTTGTGTGTAGTGTTTGCCTTTTTAATGTAGGAGTGTGTCTCAATGTAGTTTAGATGTTTAAATGCAAGGGTGTATTTGTGTGTAGTATTGGAGTTTGAATGCTGAGATGTATGCACATATACATATGCAATGCCACACAAACCGATACACATTCACACACATATACACACAATGACACACAACTGGATGCACAGATGCACACACAGACACACATACAGATACACAGGTAAAGACATGCAGATACATAGAAACACTGACACACATATAGGTACAGAGACACATAGTAATACTACAGTGACACATATTCAGATACGCAGACACACATAATGACATACATGTAGATACAGACACGTACAATGACACTCATATAGATACAAACACTGACACAGATACAGATACACACATTGACACACATGCAGATGCACAGATACAAAAACTGACGCACATACAGATACATAGACACACATACAGACTCACAAATAGATACACAGACACACAGATACAGATACAGATACACACAGATAGATATACAGACACACTGATAAATACTCTGACAGACATACAGGCATACATGCAAAATGTACACATTTTAAGCCACCCTCCTGTTTCCTATGTTTTGGGTGCCGGAGGGTGGCATTCCTGGGGTCCAGTAGGCTGGCTGAGGCTATTGGGAATCTTTGGGACTTCACACCCCTCCTCTCTGCCTTTTCATCCCATGCGGCTCTGTGTTATTTGGGAGGAAGCGACCGGCTGTCACTTCCTCCCAGCGCTGCCAAGCTTACTGAGGCCTGTCACACTGTAAAAAGGCTGCAGCACATGTTCGAACACCTGCAAATACTTTTCCATCAGGTGGCCCTAAGTGCTTGTGCCATCCAAGCGTGCAGGTACTTGTGCAGTAGCACCGGCTGTTGTTCCGCCACTGTATATAGGGCAATATTATCTGTTGCAGTCTACACACAGAACTATTTGTATGCGCAATACCCTACAACATCTAGAGTCTTGGCATATAGCTTATATATAAAATCTAGTGTTCACCACTCCTGTTTTGGGTCCTTGAATCCCATTTTTCCTGCTCCACTGCTAGGTATTGTTTAAGGTGCTCAGGTATATACTTGCTTGTTCAAAGCACTCACTGAACCAGCACTGCAGGTAATAGTTCAACAGAGGAGTCTCATACAAACCTAAGCCAACATGTTTCATCTGATCACTCAGACTTCCTCAGTCCAGGGTTCATTCTTTTTTTTTTACGGTATCTGTCATTTAAAGGGATAGTGCACACCTTTTTATTGTACTTCTGCTGCAATGAGTATATAAACTCTTTTGGGGTTTGCTTGTTTTATTGAGTTTTAAAATATCAACGCCATACAGATCGCAATGGCTAATGTCTAATTCACTCAGTATTTCAAGACCCTTTTTTTACTGACATTAATAGTTTGGATTTTTAGTAGGAAACAGAGGTGGCGTCATATTTTTTAAAATTTAAATAAAACAGCTTTTGTTCATTTTAGTATTAAAACTAATTAAGCATAAAAACACAAAGAGAGTCAGATAGCGAGTTCTGGTGACATTTGCAGAATGTAGGCTAAAAGAATCAACTTGTGGAAAAAAATGTCCAATTCAGGGAACTTGTTTTTCCAATTTTACTATTTTGGCCTACTATTTGCCAGTTGGTTGTCATCTAACTTCTGCTTCTTTAGTAAATAGCATCTCTTGAGCACACCATTTACCTCAATATTTGAACAAAAATAATTTCAGCAAAATGCCTTTTAAACAGAGGATGCCCAAATAAAGCCCCAGTAATAGTGATATGTGATTTTACCATATTGACTGAGTTGAATATTTCTTCTAACTGTTCAGTTTTGTACTTTTTTATGTAAATGTTGCTGGCAGTCAACCCATCAAAACCCATCATAACCCATCATAACTCCCTGCTGCTCACCATCATCATTAACCAAATAGTGTTGACATTATCCAGATATCAGACTTAGCCATAACACAAACACACAGTGGCTGGGTAATACGGCCTCTGTAAAAATATTTTTTTTAAAAAGGTTTTGTGAGAGGGGGGGTTTTGGGGGGGGGGGTTACTGTATTTATGTTTTAATATGCTATGCAGCTATGCAGTGGAATCGCTGAAATTATGTTGTAATTTTGCAAATATGAAATGTACATTTAACTCAATTCCAGCAATTTTGCAAATTGAAATCATTCTAATGTAGACAGTATGGATGTTAGTGCGGCAAAATCTAATACTTTTATTAAGCAAATTTAATTTGAAATCTTGTTTTTGTTAGTTTTTCTTGTACCA